GTAATTGGTGGTTGAACAAAAAAATTTAAAAAAAATCCCAGAGAAGTTCAGCTGATAATGCAGTGGAGTCATCTGCGTAGTGCTAGGAGAGGGCGCAGTCATGTCTCTCCAGCCAGTGATATCATCAATACCACTATGACTTGTGCAGAATATAGGTTGGAAGAAACAGAATTGCCGGTGTTGGCTGGAAACGTTCAGGTGCAGTGTGTGTCTGCAGGCAGTTGCATGGCCAACCAGCAGCCTGAGTCACACAACAGGCTAAGAGCCGAACTTGGGTGCTAAAACTTTATCCCCTAGCATCTCCAGAGAGACGTGGCACCTCTTGGCACTCCTCCAGCTACCATTTTCTCCAGCGAATGAGCAGTTTAAGCAAACTTTGTCATTCCTAATCGCATCACCCACCTTTGAGAAGCCCTTGCCAAGGAGGGCAGGCAGGCTGCCTGCATCTTTTCCCAGTTTCAAATCCAGTCCTAGGCTGCTAAAGATGAGGATCCCATCCTCAGCTAGATTCTGATGCAGAGATGTGATCTGGCCACGGGGGAGGCAGCCAAGTGGCGAGGTTAGATTTCAGACTCGCAGGCATGGGGAAGCTGCTGGAGGCACATGCTGTTTGGGAAGCCAGCTCCTCCACAGCAGGTGGCTGCAGCAAGGAACCATGTAAGCTCCCAGGAGAGCAGTGTTGCTCTCTGGTGCTTACACTTGTGGTTACTCAGCACTGCCACATGCCTTGGTTGGTACTGAATCCAAGAGAAATGAGTTTGTTTGCCTTGGGTTTCCTGTGGGTTCTTCCATTAAGAATTCCTTTGAGTTACTGGATCTTGACTTTCTCTGAGACTACTGCTCTTATTTACTGCATGCAAGGTCCAGGAGAGGACAAACTACAGGAAATGACCATAGGGAGCAGCAGCAGTGGGATGGTGATGGCTCTGTCATGCATCAACTTGATAAGGTCAGCCACGGTCGTCCTCATGGAGAGCAGCCAAGGTGCTCAAGGTGCAGCTGAGGTAACAGCTCCTTCCCTCACAGTCCCCATGTTCCTGAAAGTTTGTATGTGTTCCCATACAAACTGTAACAATTCGGATGTTTTGAAAGGTCCTTGCCAGTGGTGAGGGACTCCAGACATATTACTCACTCTGCAAAAGACTCCAGACCATGTCATGCTTCTTGTTAGGCTTGCATGTGAGTTTCTTTTCTTTGGTCCTTCACCAAGATTCTACTACCCCACTGTGGAGCACATCTCATCTGTGCAGCTGTCTTTGGGAAAAGGGCTATTAACCTACTGTATTATTTTTTTTTTAAAAAAAGGAAATCTGCAAGCACGGTGTAATGCACAGCACGGGGGTGTGAGATGGTGTTGTGGGTTCGAGCTGTTCTCACCACTAATCTGTCTTCTGGAGGTCTGTGCCAGCACTGGGGTATGCCCCCTGCCCTTGATGTCCCCAGCCCTAACCCTGCCGCTGCTACCAGCTTCACACCTGTGACCCCAGTGGTTGTGACTGTAGGAAAGATGACTTCCTCCAGTCATCTGGCTGGCATGCCAGACGTCATTTCTTCATCAGCTTTTGGGGGAGTGTTTCCCACCCTGCACATGGCTGGAGGCTGGCTGTGTCCCCAGCCGGGGGCTGCTCCCTTGGGTCTCTGCCCCCTGGTGCTCTGACTCACCAAGATGAGTCTGAAACAAAGAACTCTCATAAAATCTACAGGAAGATGTGTGTGAAAATAGAGATCTCATTTACCGAGACACCACCAACTCCTCACTGGAACCAGCAAATGAAAAGACAGCACTCTTGTGCCCAGCAAGATCCCAGACCTGCTTCCTGGGTAAGTTCTGAGCCAGGTAGGAGTAGGGCACAGCAGGGACATGAAGCGGTGAGCTTCAGGCTAGTGATCCCAGGAGAGAATTGGACGTGAGATGAGGTACTTCAAAAATAGAAAACTCACGTCTGAAATGAGCAGAAAAACCACAGATAGGGACAGTGTTAAGATGTGGCTAAACTGCTGAGGAATTCCCCCCATGGAGTGCACCACGCATCAGCCTTAGCTGCTGCCTCCCAGCCCCACACGGCCACCATGGAGCCAGGGGGAGGCTCGGGGGGATTTCTGCAGGGACTGGGGCAGCACGTGGGGCAGCACATGGGGAACCAGAGCCTCACGCAGCAACCCCATCTCACAGCTCCATTTCTCCAGACTGTAAATGAGCCAGAGTACAGCATGCACCTGCTTCACCAGTGCAAGGCAGGTGGCACTGCTATCATGTCCTGACGTGCTCCAGACATGCCTCCATGCTCTGAAAGGGATCCTTAGCTTTTCTTCCCTCCCTGGTTTCAGTTTTGAAAGCAGCAGCAGCTCCATGCCTCAGACATGGCAGGAGATGCTCCTACAGTGCCCTCAGTGCCCGGGCGAGAGGTCAGCCTGGTTCCCAGCTTCAGCCCAACGCAGAGGGCAGCGTGAGGCTGAGGCCACGCTTCCAGAGGGACTGGATGGTTGAGAAAACACTGTGATAGCAGTGCTCATTCCAGCCCCACAGCTGTCTGCTGCAGTGCAGGCTCTGAGGGGCATCCACTGTTTTTTTTTCCTCTACAGTTGTCATTGTCGGAAACCATTAAGGAATGAGCCAGCAAAGGCCCGGAAAGATTCCATGAGTAATAATCTTGGAGCTTTGCCCAGGCTTAATAACAGAATAACAAACAACAACATGAATAAAGGGAGAGCAGGCTGTGTGCAAGAGGTCTCCAGTGGCTGCAGGATCTATGAAGTAAGTCCATGCTTTTTGTTGTTTTCTACATACTCCCATTTACTAGAAGCAAAACTGATGTTAGGAGTCTGTTTCTGAGACAGTGATGGACAGATGTGCCAAGAGCTCACCCTTGTTGTAATGCCAGCAGAGGCACCCTTAGAGCCATGCACTACCCATGGCTCTCTGGTGGGTGCTGCCCCTTGCACCTCAGGGCTGATCTGGAGGTGCCTGCAGTGCTCACAGCCCTGCAGAGCTCAGCTGAGACCGAGCCTGAATCCAGCCCCACAGGGTGCTGTGGGAGAAGGCATGGGCTCACACGGGGAGCTTCAGAAAAGGGAGACGTCATGTTATTCCACAGCACATGCAGAAGCACGGCTGTGGTTAAGCACCAGCTCTGAGGTATTGCTCATTTGCATCTTGTGCTACCTCAGGCTCTTTGATGTCTCACGTGAGGTTCTGGTGCCCGGGTTGCCTGGAGCTCCCACACAGCCCAGCAGGACGGCTGTGCCTGTGCTGCCCTCCAGGCCACCTGTGTGGCCGTGTGCCCTGTTGCATCCCCATCCCCGCAGCAGCAGGTTGCACCAGCAGCAGCATGGCACCCATTGGACTCAATGGGTACCGCTTCCCCACTGCCAGCAAGGGATCCAGGATCAGGTGCATGCCTGTCCCCCTCAAGTACAGGGAAGGATGCTCCTGCCTCAGCTTATGCCTTTGTGTTACTGCTGTTAGGAGGGGCACACCCCCGTGTGATCCTCGCTAGGTGCCACCTACCAGCCTCTATTTTCAGAAAAGGGCTACCCTACCTCCAGAGCTTTTTGGTGCTTGCCCATCAGGTGTGGGCTGCTGAGACCTAGAGGAGCCAGAGGGCTCCCATTCAGTGACAGCAGCACAGGAGGGCAGGGTGGCAATGCCAGTAAAGTTGCTAAGTCTTTTAGTGGGAAAGACAGATTGTGGGGGGGGAGGAAGCAACTCCTCAGAGTCCCTTCAGTCACCTCCCATTACTCCTAGGCTAGGTCCTCAGCCTTTCTTTGCTTTTTTTCTATATAGGATTTGGTTGTTGATGCTGAGTTTTAAGACAATTGGCTCTTCAGGAACCGGCTCCTCCCTTGAGTATCTCAGTGAAGGATAGCATTCTGTATGTAGCACACCATCTTCTTGGTCTCTTCAAAGGTATGAATGCATCCACCAAGCCCCTGGAGGCTGGGACTGCCCTCCTGGGGTGAGTCAGTCCACAGAAACACAGTAGGGATCAGCTGTGCTGAGCAACAGAACATTGTGCCTTCAGCATGACAAGACACTGTGTGTGTATACTCATGCCTACACAAAGGCGTTTGTCTTTTCTGTTTTTTCTAACCATGCGTGTCCTGAAGTCTCAAATAATGCAAATTGTCCCTGTTATTGCCCATACACGTAGCTCCCTATGCTGTGTTTTTCTTGACAGCTCCAGGAACACAGTATTAGGAATCTGCAGCACCCCACAATGCACAACCCCACCTCCACACACAGGTGAAGGGGACTGCAATTGTCACCCACTCATTCAATCCCTTCTGCTTCTCCAATGTTTTGCTGTCTTCCTTTGGGAACAAGGATGCTGAAGATGGCAGGACTACACCAGCTGTTTTGGAAACAGGATGCTCTGCTCGAGCGTCAGCAGTGCTGCCTTTGCAGCAGGCAGGAGTGAAACTGAGAAACCTAAAGCAAAGGGATAATGCAGCTGCTGTGTGAACAGCTCCAGGATGCTTAGCTCAGCTGTAAGTGGGGGTGTGGGGAAGGCAGTGGCACATCCTTGCCCTTTGAATGTGGGCCAGGAAAGGGAGCCGTATCTCAGCAAGGCACCTTACACATGGGGGCCAGGCTGGTCCATGGGGCACTGCACTGCTGTAGGGCAGGAACAGGGCCAGCCACAGGAGGGATGCACACAGCTGCAACACAGGACAAAACTAGAGGAGAGGTGCTGACAGATGCAGCCCAGAAGAGGTGGAGGTGCCCAAGGCCAGGTTGGATGGGGCCCTGGACAGCCTGATCTGGTGGGAGGCAGCCAGCTCACGGCAGGGGGTTGGAACTGGGTGAGCATTAAGGTCCCTTCTAACCCAAGCCATTCTGTGATCCTATGAAAGCCTACTTAAGCCCAAAAGACTGTTATATCTGAACATCAACCCTCGATGTTGTAAGTGGATGAGAATGGAGAGAAAGCTGGTGGGTGAGCATTAGTCTGAAACCAAAACTTAATCTGTGACAGGCTTTAAAAACAAACAAATATGACAACTTGAAACAATCTTCTGGTGAATATTTTGGAGAAAGCGAGGGCAGAGGTAAATTTAAAGCAGACTGATCTGCCTTGTGATTTCTTTCTGGTGGGAAAATAGCATTTCTAATAAGAAATGAAAGTTTCAGTGGAAAACGTCTGAAATGTTGCTTTAGGGAAAAGCAACATGAGAGTATCTGCTACCATCAGCATTTCACACAGTTTAATAACAAAGTACAAATATCTGAGAAACAAGTCCATAGTTCACAGCAACACCTACCCCCTGCTGGCTTTCTAAACCCTGGCTAGAAGATCCACTCCTGAGATAGACATCAAGCACCCTGGGAGACTGCTGCTGTCCAGCAGACAAATGAAAAGCCCTCAAGCAGGCTTATCTACCATCAGCTGCAGCAGGGTGACAACTCCAGAAGGTGCTGGGAAGACTCCTCAGACAGGGCCAAGCCACCATGTAGGATGTAACAGCACCTTACTGCATGGCACCACGGCAGGAGGCATAAGGAAGAATGAGAAGAAAGGGCCACAGCTCATACTTGGATAGGAACATTGGTTGCAGCACTCTAGAGCAAGGGCTGAAGGTCATCATAAGGCTGAAAAAGGTTATGGGTTGTTCCATGGCACAACCAGCAGCCTTTCCTGTAGGCAAAGCTCCCCTTCTCTTTCTGCTTATCAAAGTAGAGTTTCAGAAGTGGCATGTCATTGCACAGAAACAGATATCTGATTCCGGGCACTTTTAAATGCAACAAAGACATAGAAAAACCCACCAACAGGAAACTGGTTTCAGCAATTCAAATGGAAACAATGCATTAATAATAGCTAGCCCTTTTATAACGTACAGCAGTCAAGGCAGTCACTGAGCTGACACTTATCCTCTTCAGCAATGATCCCTGCAGCACCACTCAGATACCAGGCCAGAGGTGGCCAGGTGAGCCCTTGAGCACCTTCCTGGCCAGCCAGCAGCAAAGGGAGGGGCAGGATGTAGGGCAATGCTTTCCAATTCTTTCAACATGCTGTACCCCCACTGTTACAGGAAGGCCAGTGTTTCAACAAGAGACCCAGGGGCAGCTTGTACCACTCAAACACAGAACCCTTTTAGCTTACATGGCCCTCAGCTAGAACAAGCACAGGCCTCCGAGACTTCACACGAGCATCCTCAGTCTACGGGTGTGAAAACCCCATCAACCAGATGCTATCTAGAGACACAAATTCATTTCCCAGCAATAAATTAATCAAAAATACTATAAAAGAGAACTTCACTTGCATGAAGCATTTCTCAGTGAAAAGATTATTCTTACAGTTAAATTCATACAGTTAAAACTCAACTCTACTTCAGCCTGTTGTGAACTAGGAAAAAAGGAAACCATCTGATTGGAGCCTTTGACTACAACCAAACTCAGTCCCAGGACCACAGGTAAGTTACAGAGGCTGCTCAGGGGTGGCCAGCAGAAACCTGCACCTTGTCCCTGACAAACAGCCTCACCTGGAGCATGTGAGGGATGCATAGAACATATCACACAACTCCTCAAAACATGTCTTGAACAAGAGTCTTGAAGGAAACTGGCTAGCACTGCTCTCTCAACATGAACTAAGATCTCCTTGTGTCTCCCTGTCAAGGGAGACCCCAGTGTTTGGGCACAAGTGATGTGTGTTTCTTGCAAACTTCTTGCAGCTGTGCAAGTAAGGTGGGGATTACCAAGTACAGTATTCCCTTGAGCCCGTGTTTGCCTCAAGGGTTGGTAAATATTGGCCTTCTCGGGCAGGATGGGTGCATTTACCTGATCCAGCTTCCCTGTCCCAGGTGGAGAGCAGAACCTTTTTCAAACCCCAGTTTGGGGCTCCTGGGTATTCACAAATACAGTGAATTTTTTTTTTCCCCCACAGATTAAAGGAAAACTCGAGAGTGAGTAAGATAAGAAGCTCTAGCCTATGCTACAATAAGACTCTTGATGCAAAGAAAGGTCCAAGACCATGGAAAAAGCCTTCAGTGGTGAAGATGATGGGAAAGCAGGACAGATTGCCACAGATAACTGAAAGCTTCCATTGTAAGTTTTTAAAATAACATCCATCAGGAAGAGCTTAGGTCAAGCTCAGCCTACATGGGTCTTGGGGCACAAATCTCCCACTCTGTGAAACAGAGCTGACAATTTCCTTATTCAAGCTTTTTTTTGCACGGCAGGTGTCCCAGTTAACCTGCTTTTTGTAGTGTGGAACTGATGACTCAGCTCTTCAGAACAGGAGGCTGTCTGCAGAGCCTTCCTTCTAGCACATACAAACAAAAGAGAAGAGCACTTCTTTTGCTGTGTCTCATATTGTGTTTTGGAACTCACTTGTGATGCTCTCAGAGGCTCTGTGCTCCCTTCAGACCTGAAATCCTCACAGCTGCCACAAAGTTTCTAGCAAACAAACTCAGTGCTTTCATTTTACACCAGAAACAACAATTATGTGGGAAATCCCCCTCCCACACCCTGGAGTCCATACTTTAGGTAGCTAGAGCTCATCATATACAGCTATATAGGTTCAGTCCTGGTTTTAAGATCTATAATGTAAAAAAAGTCACTGGGGTAAACTTTTAAGATAAGCATACCAAGCCTCTTCAGATTGAGCCCTCAACTATACGAAAATGGCAGCAGAGAGTAGGAGACCAAAATAAGCCTTCATCCTCCTCCCTCTGACTACCCTCTTGCTCAACCCTACACTGCCCTACCTCAGCCAATACAACCTACCAAGTGTAGAGCTGCTTTCATTCTGCCAGGCCCTACTGAGTTCTCTGCTGTTGCCTTTCCCAGTTTCTCCATTACCCTGAAGTGGTCTTCTCAGGATGGGAGCTGCTAATATCTGTACAGACACTGCCTCTTGCTATGCCTAAATCCAGTGCACATCCCTCAAGAGGATGCAGGAGAACCACCTGCACAGCTCCCTGCTGCGACTCTGGTCTAACAAGCACTGGATCATGAATTGAAGTTATAGGCAGGTAACCAAGAAACACATCAGGGATACACATTCTCCTCAGTTCTCAAGGGTGCAACAGCAAAGGAAATTGCATGGGAAAGGGAAAAATTTACAGTTCTCTTTTTCAAATACTTTCCAAAGGCAAAGCATAATAAGAGAATCCATAAGCTTCCTCTTCCATTTTCTCCCTGAGGAAGCTCTTCCAATTCCACTATCCGGATGGCACAAGAACAAAGAACCAAGTCATCTTTCAGCAGATACATGTATAGGTATGGTTAAAAACCACAGTGAATTAACTTCTAACATGAGAATGTTTAATATGCCTTCATAAGCCCATTCTCTTTGGCATCTAAAGAGCACAGAGATGACAAGAGACAGTAATGCACCTGAAACACCACATGCAGAGTCCATTCCCTTATACAGCCTGACCTGAATGGCTCCATGCAAAATTAAGATTGAATTTGCTATCCCATCTCAGGGATGGTGAAGCTGCCTGCTGGGATGTCTGAATCCTTAGCTGTACTGACAGGCACAGAGGTTGCTCCTTGCCCTAAATCCAGGCAGCTCCTGGGATGTTTGAACACTACCCTAAAATAGGATTAGACAAGGACTAGGCTGATGGGAAAACACTATCCAGAAACCCAATTTTACTGTTTTAGTAACTGGTGAGACACCCCATGACAGCTGGTACTCATTTTTCATGTTTTTGTGATGCAAAATAGTTCAGAAGAAAGGCTAGAAAAGATTTTTCCTTTTTACCTTGTTTTCTCATCTTCTAATCCAAAGTTCCTCAACATGTCAGTTTACACAACTGTTCATCTTCATGTCCTAACAGCCAACTGTTTCCACTTAAATGAGTGGAAAAGATCCCACCAATTGCAAGAGAAGCTGGACAAGGCTCACGCAGGCTGAACTCAGAAGGGAAACTACCTCAGGGGGATGACAAGGAGACAGTTATCACATTCACAAATGGGCATGCACACACACTATTTAAAACCTCACATTTATTTTTCTTTAAAAAAAAAAGTCTTTGCAAACAAATCTCATTCCTTCTTTCCAATTCAGTGGGATTGCTGCAAGCACTCCATGGCACATGACTCTTGGGAAGCAGAGAAAGTGTACCACTTACATTACCTCAGTAGTATTTCCATAGGAAAAGCTGACTCCTAACTTACATCTTCCTTGAAGCACAGACATGGGATTTTAAGAAGCATCCCAGCATCAAGTCCAAGGAACAGCATAGCAGCCATCAAGGGCCTGACATGGCTGCCAGGCTCTAGCAGAGTAGAAGGCCCTCCTTTGCTGCCAGGCGCTGGCGGTGGATCTTATCCTGCTGTAGCTCCTCATGGTTTGGATGCCAGAGTTTCATGACAATTCTCTCAATGTTTAGGGCGTAGACTGTGTGTGCAGGAATAACTTCCTTGTGTACCTAGAGATAAGTTAGAAAGTTTCATGTTTTCATACTCATTTCCCCACACCACCCATGGAAGAATGTGCAAGATGATCAGAGCCAGCCCTGCAGAGCAGGAACACAGGCTGTCACACACAAGGAGAGCTGTAACCTGCCAGCACAGAACAGTCTGTTACACCACTTTGTAATGGAGTAGCAGGGTAAAGAAATCTTGCTCCAAAAACACAGAAACACAGAATACAATTCTACTTGACCTAACACACACCCCAGATGCTCAATTACAATTCTTAAAATTCTGCCTCCACAGCCTTGAGGTAAAAACCTCAAGGCCTGCTCACAGCAGTAAAGAGCAAGGCGGGTGAAGAGGGGGTGGAATTTCTCACAGCTAGCTTCAGGCATTCAAGTTAGCCTGCCGGGCCCCAGCACTGCCATAGAGGGACCCACTAACACACACCTCTGGAGGAAAATTCACCCACAGCACCTCAGACACCTCCCCAGGGCTGAGGCAATCACACGTAACCCAATGCAACAGCCTGCATGCATGATCCAGTATTCCTCTATGTTCCACATGGGTGCTTCGAAGAAAAAGGGCCATGCCAGGCAGGTCACTCTGCTGCACTGCTGTCAAAAGGGGGAGCATTCTTTTGTAGAGACAAGGATTTCCTCATCAACTCTCTGACCAAGCGGGACAGAACAGGCATTAGACCATGAGTTGACTTTGTTACCCGTTCCCTAATAGCGGGAGCAAGTCAAAGCCAAGTAATAAGTTTGAAAGAGAAATAAGGAAACCGGCTGTGGGAGGATGAAATCAAACCCCTCTCTGTGCACATAAACCAAATCCAAGAGTGGCAGCTGATACTCAGGGCAGCACTGCCTTGAGTCACAAAGTGTGATGTGAAGAGCTTACCTGTAATGCCTCAAAAAGGTCGTACATGTTCACTGGAGGGAGAGATGCTGGCAAAGTATCTCCAGAGCACGCCAGCAGTAGTGCTGCCTGCTGCTCTGCATCATCAGGTGGGGGTTGAGGGGCTACACTCTGACCAGCAGAAGGTGTCACACAGGCTGGAGGGCTGCAGACAGCAAGCGGTAAAACCTTCCAGTCACAAAAGCAGCACTAGCTTTGGTAGTAACACAGCAGGGGCTCAGCCCCAGCGTTTGCTTTTCTGTATTCATAATACAGCCTTTGCATATATGAAATTCTATCAGCTCTAATACAATCTCTTAACAAATTTCAGTTTAATAAAAACAATGAAAACCAATCTTCAGCATGCCTCAGACCTGTTTTGTACTTTATTGTGAGCTGGTAACCTTTGTTATTCACAACCAAGTTTCCACCCAGCCTAAAAAATGAAGGCACCCACAACATTCAATTGAGAGACATTAGCTATTAGGCAGAGTTGTTTGGAGTGGATTCCACTTGTGGTACCATAACCAAACCTTAGAACACCCACAACCTCCTGTGAAATGCTAGCAGCTCTGTCATGGACAAACAGCTGCCTCACCATACACACACACTGCCTGACACAGAGCACATGCTGTTTGAGACTGCAAAACCAGATGAGCTTGAAGCTCTGCAAGTGGAAAGGCCTGCAGAAAAACCATTAATACACATGGACACAAGAAATGACAGACTGCAGCATCTCAGAGGTCCTCTCCTGCATCTCAGCCTTATGGTACACAGCAGTACCCAAACAAAGCTCTGCCCTGCTGCTTTCATACTGTGTGAAAGCTAAACTCCACAGTTAGCAGATTCCACTCAGTCAGAAGAAAAACTGAACTGAGTAACTTCAGGACTAGCAAATTACATTTGAAGTTAACAGCATGCTGAAAGCTCCTCACCACTCAATTAAATTGTTGTAAGCAACAATACTGCCCTTCTGCCCAGGGGCCTCTTCCCTGAGATCGGAAGAACTCCTGTGTCACTTGCTCCAAGCAATAACTAATAACATTCAGAGGGCCCGGGTCACCATGATAAACTGATAAGTAGCCAGGAAGAGACAACATTGTCCTGAACTCTGCTGCTGAAAAATCCCCACATCCTTCCTCCCTGTTCAGCACACAGCAAATGAAAGCTGAACACCATTAATAGATCCCACTCAGTGAGAATTAAAACTGAACAACAAAGTAACATCAAGACTAGCAAATTACATTTGAAACTAACAGTGCGCTGAAAGCTCCTTACCACTCAATTAAATTGTTGTAAGCAACAACACTGTTCTTCAGATACGGCTGAGGATTAACATTGCTTCCAAAGGCATACTTGAAGTGGCCATCTCTCAGCCGATAGGCTTTTCGTCTGGATATTACAGATGTCAGAATGTCCTTTAGATGGTTCTGGAATGAAAAACATTTTTGTTAAGCATACTAATTAACCCATCCTACCAAACTACAGCTCAGAGAAGTACAGACTGACAAGACCAGTTCTGCCACAACCACAAGGACCTAAAGACAACATGTATCAGGTGGTTAAGTGAAAACACTCTGCCTGCCCACAAGCTGGAAACAAAGAACGTGGCTCTGCATTTTAAAGCACAGTTCACAGGCTAATATATGATGTGGTACTTCAAATGTCACAAAGAGTTTTCTTAAATGCTAGGAAATTCCCAACCCATTCCCTTTCAAGAGTTTTTACAGCTTGCACTCAATGTTGTGCTCGTACTGAAATACTGGCTCTAAAACTACAATGAAAAGCCATACATTTTTTCAGGTTGTTGAGGTGCCTGGAAGCTGCTGAAGAAACAGCTGTCTGGAACTGCTTCCTAGCATGACCTCACTCCCAGACAGAGGATTGAGGTTAGCATCTAACACCACAGTTTGGGGAAGCAATCCCCAGAGAGCTGACTAACAGCTGCACCATGGGGCCTGACTGGGAGACGCCTGGTAACACCACTGCTGGCCAGCAGCTCCAGCAGACAGTTCATGCAAGTACTGTCTGATTCTGCTACTTCCAGGCCAGATACCTTCACATGTAATGGATTTATTTTAAATCAAAATTCTTAAGAAGATGCCATTCTCTTTTCAATGATGGGAACAGCATTTTCTAAATTACCTACTCAAGTGTACCTAGAGCTCTTCATAAGCAAGCACCTCATATTTAACCCTCACAAGCACAAATCTCCGATGGCACAAACCCCTCTGATTCCAATCTTACTCCTCCTGAGGCAGCTGGGCAGCCAAAGCAGCACAACCCCCATCTACGGAGGGGGGGCTCTGTCTGCCCCATACTGCATACAGAGACTTTTGCTGCTGGTGTAATGGCAACACCAGGGCTGCACAGCCCAGTCTCACCTCCACAGCATAAACCACAGCTGTCACCGCATCCTCTGTGACGTTGTCCAGCCCATGCTCATACGCAGTTACAATCATCCTTCCTTCTAGCTGGCCACGTGTAGGAAGCATCATGGTATGGGAGCACAGCTTCAGGTCATCGTCGTCTTGAGGATCTTTAGCCACAAACTGCTGGGCTCCAGACAATGGATTCTGAGGCTGGAACCGGTGCTGTGATCAACACAATATCAGAGCATAAGATGATGTTAACTTGGTCAGGTTTCAGTTCACCTCGTGAAACATTGCTTCTCAGACTGGAGCACAAACACCTACAGAACATATGGCAGCAGGACAAAGGGAGCAGTACACCCACCTGTCCCCAGAGTACTCATCTAAACTCTCAGTGAAGTTTCTGAGCTAGGGTTGGTGTCCTTCCACTTAACTACCCATGAGCCTATTCTGCAGCACTCTGCACTATCAGATATCCACCACATTCTGCAGCAAGAAATTCTACATTTACTCTGTACTGCCCACTTGCTTGACTCATTCCATTTTCCTGCGAGTCTCCAGTGTGGCCACAGTCCCTCTTACCTTTGTTCATATTGCACAGGCCAGTGATGACTTTACTGGACTTTCACATTTTTCAGTCACCTCCTTCTATGCTGCAGAGTTCTTATCTACTTACTCATTTCTTGTGCAGAAGCCCTTCGATATAAGCTAAAAATACACCCTATTGTCTACCAACCGTACAGTTTCCTACCAAGAATCAACACAGTGATCCTAAGCTTATGTGATTAAGTGATTCTTACACATCTTTAAAGAATAAGGACTTAATTAAATACAACAGCTTCACCGCATTTCAGTTCCAGATTTTGTACTCTAACCTCCCCATGCACTTCTAATACCCTAAGCAGAGCTGGGTAACTGTGCAATCAGTTTGAGAAGATTATGGCCAATAAGATTATTTCAGAACGGAGGCAGTTACTTCGGGACAAAATATCACAGAACTTGAATTCACACCAGAAGGAAGCATGCTTCCCAATCCATGTGCTCCCATGCTATTCCCAGGCCACACTTTGTGGTGACTCCTTAGAACTCAGTGTCCAAACAGAGGAGGAAAAAGGTAGAGAGGAACTGATTTCCGGGCTGAGACACATGCTTGGCCAATCCCCAAGCCACAAGGGAACACCACAAAGCTGGCTCA